ATCAATCAATCAATCAATCAATCAATCAATCAATCAATCAATCAATCAATCAATCAATCAATCAATCAATCAATCAATCAATCAATCAATCAATCAATCAATCAATCAATCAATCAATCAACCAATCAATCAATCAATCAATCAATCAATCAACCAACCAACCAATCAATCAATCAACCAACCAACCAACCAATCAATCAACCAACCAACCAACCAACTAACCAATCAATTAATCAATCGATCAATGTTGGTCAGTCGGTCGGTCAGTTAGAATAATGAGAATAACAATAAGAACGAAAGATTTAAACCTTTTCAGTCAAAGAGAATATGACGGATTGTAGGTGTTTTACCGTTTGTTCCAGCTGTTCAAACTGGTTGCATGTGGGACAACCTGACGAAATTTCATTCATTTATTCATTCTTTAGTTCGTTTGTTCGTTCGTTCGTTCATTCATTCACTCGCCCGACCATTTATTCGTTAATTCATCATCGTTCGTTAATTCATACGTTCATAACCAATCGATGAAACGATGAATAATAAATAAATTAATTCGTTCTATCATTCATTTATTTATTCGCTCATTCATTCATCAATCAACCAGGCAACTAACCAGTCAATCAGCCAATCAACAACCAGCCAAACAACTAACCAACCAGCTAACCAACCAACTAACCAACCAACCATCTAACCAGTCAATCAGCCAACCAACCAATCACAAAAACTCACTGCTCTCTGGACAGAGCAGTGTATAGCCCTCAGACGAAAATACGATATTGACGTATTCCATTGAGCCCTGTTTGTCAATAATAATAATAATAATAATAATAATAATAATAATAATAATAATAAAACAACAATAATAATAACAATAATAAAAATAATAATAATAATAATAACAACAACAATAGCAATGATATTTTTCTATTATACAACATTTTGACATCATCGTCATCACAAATAAATTTAACATCAGAATCGTCATCAGCATCGTAACTTTCACAATCATCTTCATCATCGTTATCATCATCATCATCATCATCACAATCGTCACCACAATCATGGCCATCATCGTCATCATCTTCATCGTCGTCGTCATCATCGTCATCAACTTCACATGCACTATTCATCAAATTAAAATTCATTCATACCAGTGTAGCGAGGAGGAAATACAAAGATGTTTTAATTTTTTTTTATTCTATGTTTTAATTTAAACAAAAATGTAAAAGGCATAACCAGAATCGTTACAATTGTGTTTGTTTATAATGATTGTTTGTTTGTTTGTTTGTTTGTTTGTTTGTTTGTCTGTTTGTTGGTTCGTCTGGTTTTTAATTTGTATTATGTTCATCTATGTATGTTTATTAATATGTGCGCTTGTTTATCAAATTGTTCATACGAAAAAAGAGCAAAACTAGAGAGAGAGCGAGCGAGAGAGAGAGAGGGGAGAGAGAGGAAAGAAAACTAGAGAGAGAGAGAGATAGAGACAGAGAGAGAGATAGAGAGATAGAGAGAGAGAGAGAGAGACAGAGAGAGATAGAGAGACAGAGAGAGAAAGAGAGAGAGAGATAGAGAGACAGAGAGAGAGAGAGAAAGATAGAGAGAGAGAGAGAGAGAGACACAGAGAGAGAGAGAGAGAGATAGAGAGACAGAGAGAGAGAAAGAGAGACAGAGAGAGAAAGAGAGAGAGAGATAGAGAGACAGAGAAAGAGAGAGAGAGAGAGAGAGAGAGAGAGAGAAAGCAAGTGGAAAGCAGATAGATAAATAGCGTAAAACGATATAGAATTTTTTTTTCAAGGAAAAAATAATGAAAAATAAATTAAAGAACATTAAGAGCAAATAGATAAGGGCATCAGAGTGTAATAATGTAATGCAAGCACATTCAATTTTATTCCGCTCAGCAAAATACTCACGCACACGTACACACACGCACACACACACACACACACAAACACACATACAAACACACACACACGCCTCTTTTTTTAAATATTCATATATTCATTCATTCATTCACACTACTTATTTTTGAATATTCGTTCATTCGTTCATTTATTCCTTCATTCACTCACTCACTCACTCATTCATTCATTCATTCACTCATCCATTCATTCATCCATCCAAACATTCAGCCACACATTTTCAATCGTCAAACTGCTTTTACATTCATTAAATCATTTAGTAGTAGTAGCAGCAGCAGTAGATTTGAGGTACTAGTAAACGTAGTAGTATTTGTAGTAGTAGTTGTAGTTGTAGTGGCAGTTACAGTGGCAGCAGCTAAAGATAAGAAAGAAAAGTGCTGGGAGGAAAAGGAAAGAGAGATAAAAAAAAACAAATGAAATTTTAAACAATATGTACTACTTACTAGCTAATTAATTATACTTAATAATACACGCAGTGCTACTTAACAGTACTTATTGAAGTTAATGATGACAGCAAGTAGTAGTGGTAATGAGCAGTAATAATGATGATGACGATGATGATAAAGATGACGACAACGATGAAGATGACGATGATGACGACGATGATGGCGATGAAGATGATGATGATGATAGTGATGATGAAGATGAGGACGATGATGATGGCGATGATGATAGTGATACTGACCGAGCGGCAAGAAAATATAATGTTGACGATGAAAAGAATGATGAAACTGTAATTGAAATTGTAGACAAATTTAAAAAAATGAATGAACGAACGGAAGAAGGAACGAAAGATCGAACGAACGAATGAATGAATAAATGAACGAACGAACGAATGATTGAATGAACAAATGAATGAATGAATGAATAAATGAATGAATTAACGAATTAACGAATAAGACAAACGAATAAAACAAAATTAAAGAAATGAATGAATGAATGAATGAATGAATGAATGAATGAAAAAAATAGACAAGATTGAATGAATGAATAAATGAACGACTGAGTGAGTGAGTAGATAAACGAATAAATAAATAAACAAATGAATGAATGAAAGAAGGAACAAACGAATAAAAATGAATGAGACATCGAAAAATCATGAGTGGGATATAAAAAGATAAAAATATAAATAAACGTATCAATGCCAGAAGATAAATAAATAAACAAACAAACAAACAAAGGAATGATTGAGTGAGTGAGTGAATGAATGAATGAAT